GTAAGTCCAAATGCGATTTTATCTTCAATCAAATCTTCAAACTATCCTTTACACCTTGGCAGACGATCCCCGACTTTGAATAAAATCTCTATTCCTTTGTGGCACTGGAATTACCGGCGGAAGCGGCGTTTTGACACCGTACAATTTTGCTGTCGTACAGAATCTAACATAGAAGAAGTACAAAATAACTTCATCGCGAGAGGCGTCATCCCGAAGAAACAGCAACGGCAGGGGAATATTACTAAAGAGCAATCCGTTGCGTTGATAAGGCACTTCCCTCGGGAACCCCGTTAAGAACACATTCGAATAGAGTAGGTATGTCAGAATTTGTATGATTAAGTGGGCTTGGAACGGCATGACAAGGAATTTATAACAGGATGGGCATGACAGCCCGGGCATGGCAGGGGCGGGCATGCAAGAAGTTATATAGAGCGCCGGCACCGAGAGGCCGCACGTGAGATGGGTCAGTGGGTGGCTGCCTCGGACGCTGCGCTGGCGATTTCAACGACGCCCCAAGAAGTGATCTTCAGGAGGCAAGAGAGGAGGAGGGAGGAAAGGGGGAAGAGGGCGAGAAGGGAGGAAAAGAGCAAGAGGGTGAGAAGGGGGTGGGAGGAGGAGGGAAGAAGAGGAGGAGAAGGGTGAAGGAAGAGGAGGAGGGAAGTATCAGTTGCAGCGATGAATGTCTTTATAACTGAGGTTTAGCCGAGGTTTAGTTTACACCGCGACGGACTGGGATTACCAGAAGGGAAGAGGGGGGGGGGGGTCGTTCTAGGGGAAGGTCAGTTGCACTTGTACCCGAGAATTTCAACGACAGAGAGGGAGGGAGGGAGAGAGAGAGAGAGAGAGAGAGAGAGAGAGAGAGAGAGAGAGAGAGAGAGAGAGAGAGAGAGAGAGAGAGAGAGAGAGAGAGAGAGAGAGAGAGAGAGAGAGAGAGAGAGAGAGAGAGAAGGCAGAAACTGGGGAAGGGGAGAGAGAGAAGGAGAAATCGAGTAAAAAAAACAGGCAGTTGTACGTTAACGCACGAGTGAATGAACAAACTCGTAAAATTAGCCAAAGATTAGCTCGAGCATCAAACTTGACTGAAAGAAACGAAAATCCCTAAGATAGAACAAGCTCTGAACGTCATCATCTTTATCATCATCACCATGAATAACAAGAAGGAGGAGAAGCACAAACGGCCAAGAAACCGAGATAAATTGCGAGTTTGACGGCTTAACGAGCGTGCACTTGGCATGTAAACAATACCATAAAATCTACGGGTGAAGAAAACCCGTTCGAGCAAAAGCCCTCCATCGTATGAATAAAACGAAAGCAAAGCTTTATGAAAAAATGTACAGACTCAATCAAATCAATCGAAAGATGAATAAACTCCATCAAAACTAAATAAAAAAACATGACGTTTTTATACAGATTGACCGGAATTGTATTACTATTACACTATTCCATTATCGTTATCATCATTATTATTACTATCATTATCATCTTCATTATTAGTATCATTACTATCCTTACTATTATTATTACCATTGTTATTACTAACATTATTATAATTATCATCGTTACTGCTATAATCACTATTTTCTCCTTCTCATCATTACCATTATCAATGCTCATAGGAAAAGTACACATTGTTTCTGCAAGAGACCTAGAAAGTAATTAAAGAGAAGGATAACTGGAAAAAAAGAGCTACTTTCACTAAAAAAAACAACGATTCCGAACTAAGCAAAAAAAAAAACACCAACAAAAACAACGCAACGACAAACAAAACTCGCACTCCCGTACCCACAACACGCGTCTCCTTGGCGAGGCTGAACTGACCTGACTTCTGCACGCGTGACCCAAGCCGCACGGAAGGGAGACACGGGCGTTGAAGAATTTGAGGGGGGAAAAGGGGGGGGGAATACCCTATGGCTGGAGTGGTTTGCCAGATTCGAGGTGGGTATGTTACACGTGATTTGCCGCGTCTGAGGTGGGTGTGTTGAAATGCCTTGGCGGCTTTGGAGTGCTCAGATATTTTGGCCGGATTCGAGATGGATTAGTTCTCATATCCAGTCGAATTTCAGGGGGGATACGTTCAAATGCTTTTCCGGATTTGCGGTAGAAAGCCCCAAATACCTTATCGGATCTGAGGAGAAACTGTTCACGTACCGATTAATTAACTGACCCACGACCTATACCTCTTTCAGTCGTTACTACTAATCAGAATATTCTTCATCAGTCACCAGGTTTATCGCAATGCATACGACACTCTCACTAACGTAATGTAAAAAAGTAAATAAATAAACAATAAGTTAATAAAATAATTAAACATATCTCAAAAGCATTCAGCAAAAGAGAATTTAACACTGAACACCGTCAAACCACAACAAAAGCCCGAGCTCGCCAGGGCCATGTTGCACCTGTTGCACGCCCGCTACCAGATAGGCCTACTTCACGCGTTGCTGCGCCGACTAAAATTCGATGTCAGAACACGTTTTAGCTTACGTTATGATTAGTAAAG